AAAAGTCTAATCATGAACTACACATTTAAATACACATTAGCTGCTTGAATCATAAAATAACTAGTAATGCTGTTGCATGAATGTAGAAATTGGTTCATGAACTACTAAGATTGAGAGATGATAGAGCAGACCGAAATAGACGATGCTACTTATGATTAAAAGATCAATGCCTTTTCCAATGCATTTGAATTAATGGATTGAATTGTTCTACAAAAAAGGTATATCATTATTATTAAAATGGATATTATAAAAAAAGGTATACAAATAGTGTGTTAGTAGTTTCTTCTTATTAAGGACAAGTTAATTGATTATCAGTTTGTATAGTACAGGCATTGCACAGCAGTGAAATAGGAAGCAGCAGCAAGGGGATTGAACAAATAAGGAAAATGAAACAAGAGAAGCTGGACCAAAGACAACAAGCTCATACCTCATATAAAGATTTTGTTTTTCATGTGAAATTTCAGATTTTGGACAAGTACTAAATTATCATTTGGAATGAAAAAAAAAAAGAGTAAATGCTGTTTTTACATTTAAAATAACTGATTTCTACAAAAATAATCAAATATGATCTCTTCAAGAATGTGCGTTCATGAAGCCTTTTGAAGATAAATTATATGCAGACTTACAATTATAATTGGATTCTTTTAATGTTATGGATTCTAAATTTGCACTTACATTAGCAATATTCTTAAATCTGCACCTAAAAAAGAGTGAAAGCCCAAATTTAAAACTCAATTTGAGTCTAAATATAGAGACCTCCAGTGGAATCTGAACTTGAAATTGTAATTGAATATTAAGCTAAATTGCAATTAAAACCTAAATATAATCCTGAGTATGAAGTTGAACTTCCCATAAAAAATTAAATCTATGAACTAGAGTTTTTGAAGGGTGTTGAATGTGCTCTTAAATATGCGGCTAAACAGATAATGATTGTTGTTGTATGAGCAAACTGATAAAGTGAATTAAATTTGTGAAAGCAAATAACTTGAGCATATTAAGGATGATAAATCAATTGAACAAATGGATTTAAATCTTGATGGAAAAAATAATGAAGCTATTTCTGTAAATCAAATTAAAATTGATTTTATTTTTAGAACTTGATTTCTTGAAATACAAATTCATAAACAGGGATCTAAGGAGATAGTGAAATGGCATTACTTCTTTCATAAATTTGTTAATAATAAAAGACATTAAAGAAACCTGAACTTCAGAATTTGGTTGAATCTAAAAAAATATGTAAATCATCTCCACTAATATTTATGCTATTTGAGCTTTCTTTGCCGTGATAGTTCATCAAAATAGGTGTTTCATATTTGTATGGTTTGCTGATTTTCAAATTTCATTGTCATCTCATCATATAGATCAAAGTTAAAATAATTATTAATATCACTTAGGATATATATTGACATTCTAGTATTTTTATCACATGTAACATTTCAATTGCATAATTTGCATGATTTGTTTCATTTCCGTGAAAACTTTTTAGAACAATTTACATAAAAATTTTCAAACCAAAACTAATTGTTGATTGTGGAAAGCGTAAGTCTACTATTAAAATGATTATGAAGATGATAAAAATTTGAAATTCAAACTAAATGATAAGTTAATGGCACGTAAGAATTCTAAAGGGTTTCCTATAGGAATCTTTAATAAATTAATAAGAAAGATGGAGCCACATAATATATACAGCGCATTAGGATAAAAAAACATAAATTCAAAATTCTATGAAGCAATGGTAGTATTTCAAACTTTAATTTATCTAGTTTGATTTTATTGTATATAAGATTTGATGCGGACATCCAACCGTCCATGCCTATCCGAGGAGGAGCTGAAGATCGACGACTGAGATCACTTTGCTTTATTTTAGTTTATTAAGTGTAATTTTGCAATTTCTCTTTTTTACCCTCTTGTCTTATGTAAGCCCAATGGGCAAATGTGTCTTTTAATTTCTTTTGAGGCCTATATATAGAGGCCCCTTCTCTTGTATTAGATATGATGGAATTATAAAAAAAAAGTTGTGTTTTGCACTTGTGTTCATTAGGAAGAACTTTAGTGAAATCCCTATGGGAGGGAGTCGAAGTTTCCACCAGCCGCAGGATGGGTCCGGGCTAGTGGTTTGAAGTCCCTTGGATGAGGGCAACGTATCACCCGTAAGTCTTCGGAAGAGTCCAAGGCCGCCGGATTCGGTTTTTATTTTCGGTTTTTATCTCTTTCGTTTTATCTTCGGTTCTTGTCTTCTATCTTTCGTTTTATCTTCGGTTTTTATTTTCTCTCTTTCGTTTTTATCTCTTCTTTAATTGTTTTTGTTCCATCGTTCTTCCTCCTTCCCATCTTCGTTTGGCCGCCGGATTCTAGCCCCTCCCTTTTCCCCATTAGCTCCTCCACCGCCGGCCTTGGTTTGTCTCCATGAATGAGTCAATGTCATCTTAAAGCTTACCTAAAGAGTTCAAATAATTTAGGAAATTATTTTCATCCTTTGAAATTCAAATTTTGAATTTCAATTAGCTTCCTAAATTAGAAAGCTATTTTAGGAAATTATTGAATCTCATTCATGATGTAATTCAAATTTAATTTGGGTGATTTAATTTTGGGTGGTTCTCAAAATTCAAATCCAACTAATTTGAAATCTTTCCTAATTTGCCATTCTATTTTTGGAAAGTGCTCAATTAGAATCAATTTGAATTTTAAATTCAAATCCAATTTATTGTCTCACTTTCCTAACTTTTAAATTCAAATCAATGAGCATTAAACCTCCACATTAATTGCTCCTTGATTCTTGCTTAGCCGAAACCCCCCTCATGCCCCACCTCTTGATTTCTTTCATTTTTCCCTTTCCTTGCTTTAAGAAAATATTTTCAAATCCACTTAATTTAAGCCCAGCCGAAATTCCCCTTAACCCAATTTCTTTTTTTTTTTGTTTCCTAAATCTAAAACCTGATTCAGGAAATAAATTTCCCCTTTTTGTTTTTTTCCCTCCCCATATCACCAGCTTCCTAATTCCAACTTAGCTTCACTTGGAATTTTTTTAAAATTTCAGCCACCTCTCTTAGCCGACGTTGAATAAATTTATTGCTTAATTGATTCCCAAAGAAAGCTCCCCAAATTAAGAGTTTTTGAGTTGGAAAATTTTCACAGCTTTCTCTCCACCTTGAAGATTCTACAGGAGGAGTTGGTGCTTGTTCTCCCTCCTCTTTCAAGAAAGAAATCTGAATTCTCTCAGGTTTTGGGGAACAAAGCTGAAAGTGTTCTCAGGTTTTGGAGAAGAAATCCTCTCCGTAGCAAAGCTGGCATTTTCTGTTCTACATCAAGATTACTCGACAAATGTTGGCAACTACTATCGGGGGCAAGTCTCCTTGCACTGATATGAGACCTAGTTATTCCTTTGGGTGATTTTGATCCTTGTTCTTGTTTTAATTTTATTTAATTGTTGATTTTGTGTCATTAAAAACTTTTCAAGTGTTAAACATCTTAAATTTCCTTTCTCATAGCATAAACTTGATTGTTCCCAAAGTTTTATGACTGTTCAGTATTTTTCTTGTAAAAATTCAGAATTTAATGGCTCTTAGATTATTATTTGGAACGTAAGCACTAAGCACTATGCTTGTTGTTGTTACATTGCAAGCAATATATTTTTGCTAAATTAAAGAGTTGGTAACCAGTATATTGAGATTTTTTATGTATTTCATTGTGCATTCTATCCTAAGTTGTATAAGTAATCTTAGACCCTTAATCGACCTATATCACAATGATATTTACCTAATTAATATGGTAATATATGAACGTAAGTTGGTTTAAAAGATCAATGTTTTTATTTTTTTGAGATTCAAATCTAACCTCCACTAGAGGTCAAAGCAATACCATTGAATCAGTAGTTGGCGGTTCAAAAGATCAACGTGATTCATTCAGTTTTGGAGTAATAAATAATTAGCTAAGAAAGACGGGGTATTAATCTATATTCACGCTAATAATAGCTCCAAATGACTTATTTCCATCCCTTGAATTTTGTGCTTGACAAACTATTTATTCTAAGGTTCATATACAACTATTTGAGGCAGGTTGTTCAGTCTTAATTAAATAAATAAGTTATTTACACAAGTGCTGTCGTTGGTGCATGTATTCTGTAGGTTTCAATTGCATTAGGGTTAACGTTATCATGATTATTGGCACCTTGCTAGTGCTGTGCCTTTAACAAATGAGTTTTCATGGAAAAAACATTTGTGATTAATTTTTCTCCTAGCAGATCTTACCAAGTTTCATAATTGGATCATAATCAGAAGAGCAGATCTTTTAACAATATAATTAATTTGCTAATTCAATATTTATATTTTGTAATAGTTCTTTGTTTAGAGTGGTGTTGGGTTTTTTATTGGTTATTGCAAATTTAATTGATTTCATTTTTCTTTCCATTCTTTAGTCTTTTAATTTCCTCTTGACAAAAGATTGTTGACAATTCTATTGATTCCATAAAGTTCAATTTCATTTTTTTTAATATATAAAATTTCTTTTGCATATGTTTGCACATACAAGTCCTTTTCTCCTTAATTCAAATTTCTTTACTTGATGTTAGCCCTTGAAGTTATCTCATAGGTTTACGATAAGTCTCTTCACCATGTCATGTATAATGTAAATTTTCTTTTGCATCTGTTTGCACATAAGTCCTTTTCTCCTTAATTCACAACTTTTTTACTTAATATTAGCTCTCGAACTTATATCATAGATTTATGATTAAGTCTCTTAACCATGTCATGTATTATCAAGGTGTATCATCCACTGGACCCCGAAGTTAACAAATTTAATGCTATTCTATTTTTCCTAGACAGAACTTTGATAGAGTGTCAAAATATGAGCGTACACAGTGCGGTTTTCCCACTAAATATGGAATTAACCAAAGATTTTAAACACAACAATCATGGAATATATAGAAAAAACCAAAAGTGAATAGAAACATATAGATGAAGACATTGAGCTAAAGTTTAATACTTTCATTCTCTAATCAGTACCTGGCAGCATACTCAGAAAAATGTTTCCCTGGCTGTCGTTGCCTTAATGTATGCAAATCACCACCTGGACAGAATTCCATGACCAAACATGAAAACCTGTCAGTCTCAAAATGTGTATATAGAGTTGGAAGGAATGGGTGATCCAGAAGCTGAAGAATCTCCCTTTCTGTTTGAGCCCTTGTCAGCTTCTTCCGGCTAGCAAGCGAGGCTTTGTCCATCACTTTCATTGCAAAATAGCATCTAGTCCCACTCAACTCAGACAGGTAGACACTACCAATGTCACCACATCCCAGCCGTTTTAAAAGCCTAAAATGGCTCATGCCCAATATGCCATCGCGAGATCGAACAGCGAGAATGGCCTTCCATCTTGGATCATTTCCCTTGTGAGGCTTATTAGCACTCCCGGTGATATTACTCCAATTGCTATCATCACTAAGCCCACTGCTGTCACTTGCTCTGCTCATGCTTGTTTTCTCACTCTCAAGTGAATCACCTCTAACACTTGCCTTCGTACTCTCACAATTCCTTTCGACACTAAGCATCCCATCACTAGTAATCCCCTCACTCCTGTAAGTGCTAGTGCAGCTATTCACGACACTCATTGCAGTTACAACACCAGTGCTGTCAATGCTACTATGTGGGCTGACATTGCCACTTGGTGGCAGAGAAGCATCCCACACACATTCCTTCTCTTCAGAATCCTGTGGCAGGTATGCAGTCTCCATACTCTGTGAAGCTCGATCAGCAGAGAATGGGGATGACAAAGAAGCTGAAGCTCTAGCTTCCTCAACCAAGCTCTCTATGGGAGAAAGAGGAGGCGTAGGTTTCATTCCTGGAATCCGAATAGAAAGATCTTCTATAAAAGGGCCTTTAACAGAGAGACCTTTCATCAAGTTCCCAGACTCCGGCTTGTTTTCATCAATTGTTACATAAACTGTCCTCATAAGGTCCATGTCCACAGGTTCAGGTGGATGACTTGCTCCAGAGAAAGAAGTATTTCCCACTTCTTCGTAAGAGTCACTACTCTTTGAACTGACTACATCAGGCAACGACTCCCTTGTTTCCTGGAAAGAGCTTTTCCCTTTCCATGCCTTCACGAGTGTAGCCATCTCTGAAACATTATGGCCTTTTTCTTCTCTCAAAGCACTTTCATGAATAACTAGAACTTGATCAACAGACAATACCTGCTCTTGGTCCATTTTACATTCAGGAACCTTCTCCATTCTCAGTTACACTGTTATATCACCTACATTTAGTGTCAAGGAGTGTTATCTGCACATTGAATGTCCTCGGTGGTTCATAACTCACAACACCAGATCCATCAGAATGCGCAAGATTTATGATAAAAGCGCAGTTCTTAGAGGTTTTTTATACCGGACTCATGAACTAGATTATCAAGCTCATGTATGCAGATTCTTTTCAGATAATTGAGCTGCAATAAACAACTTAACTCTTAAAACGAAGCAACGTCGACAACAAACTTCGCTTCTTTCGAAAGAAACCTGCGGAAATGTTAAAAGAATCGCTTATCAGACAAATGAGAACTCTTAGTTTGCATTCCACAACAAAACCAAACACAGGAAATATATAAATTTCCTGACAAATGAAAAATCACAACAATAACAACAAATTTTCCAGATCCTTAACCTGAAATAAAAAATAGAGATATTTCACAAGGGAACATTAGCAAATACAAGTAAAAAAAATGCATGTCCTTCAGCACAGGCCTCGCACAGGCCTCGATAGTTCACTAGAACAAACAAACTGCACAAAACAATTACACATCACGCACAAACATTTGGAATCGCCAAATCTAATATTTAAACTTGGAGAAACAAAACTTCTTTCCCTCCACCAGTTGCATTTCCCCGATTCGGATCCCTCCGATCAGACATAGATAAAAAAGAGAATGAAGGAGAGGGAGAGTGCTCGAGAGAGAGAGCGGGAGAGAGGATTTCCGAGATCAAAAGAAGTAACCGGTCAAAAGGACGAGAGGATGCAAGGGGGTCGAATTGAGCAACTCACCAGAAGCATCAGAAGATCAACTCCGAGTATCTCGCTAGTTCAAGTTAGGGTTTTTCCTCGGTTCCGTTCCACTTCAGCTCCCCCTTCTCCTCTTTCCCTTCTTCTTCACTGCAGCGAGTGAAAAGCAAAAGGGAGTGGCAGAGGACTGAACAGAAGAGACCAGGCTGACCAGCGGCAGCGAATTCTCCCCATTCATCTTCTTTCTTTTATATATTTTTATTCTTTTCCGTTATATGTACTGCGTTGCAGCGTTTGCATCATGACGTGCTTAACGTAATCCTCCTTTAATTATAGTATTAGTACCAGTGACTATTGTGAGTAATTACCCTCTGCCGGGCCCCAAAGGGTGTTTACGGGTGGTCCCACCATGTGCCCCTTTAACCCTACACTGGCCTACGTTTCGACATCCTAATGGTAAATCCGTTGGTAGCTTCTTGAACGTTTGATGGAGATCAGATGAGGAATGCTAGAAGATCACAACCGTCCACTAGCAGTGAGGGGATACTTTCGCTTGGCCAAGTGGTGATATTAGACTAGGAATTGACTGGTTTTGAATAGCTTTTTTAAAGAGCTCTTTTTATGCTGAATAAGAAATGGATAACAAAATGAATTAAAATTTAAAATAAATATAACATATTTAAAACATTTCTAGTTGTTAGGTTGAGGAGCTTTTATTCAGCATAAAAAAGAATAATAATAATCAATAGTGGCCGGCAATGGGTGGCATCAATGTTCAATGGTGGCGCAATGTTAGTGCTGGTTGAGGTGCACGGTAGTTGCTTGTAATAGGCGGCAATGACGGGCTATGGGTGTGATTGACTTAACTTTTACACAGGTTGTGTTTAGAATTCGTCAAACAAATGACAATTTTTAAATACACTAATAATGAATTATATGGTGTATTCCATATACATAAAAATTTTGCATTTTTCTAATTTCAGTATGCGCTGTCGTTTCGCCCACTCCGCTAGGGCTTTGCCCTAACTTTCCTCATCGTGGTTGCAGGCTGCTCGCCCCAGTGGCGCTGGTCCTCACCGTATTCCTTGGGGTTCGTCTTCATCGTGTTCTTTTTTTATGTTCTTGCGGGTTCTTCTTCCGTTATTTATTTTCCTGAGCTTAAGGCATCCTCCTTTCGTGGCTTGCCTTTTCTTTGGATCTCTGATCAAGAAATTCATGCATTGACCGTTCCTTTTCAGTTCTCGTTGGTTGGTTTTTTTCTTACCAAACGACCCTTGCTTGATACCATTTGTAGATTTTTTTTCAACCTCAAGCTAAATGGGGAGGTTTCAGTCACCTTGCTGGATCCGTCGCATATTCTCATCAAGCTCGCTAATGACCTTGATTACTGTCGGGCCTTCTGTCACATATCATATTTGGTTTATAATTGCTACATGAAGCTCACCAAATGGTCTCCTCTTGTTGATGTTGGCGTTGAGTTGCCGATGATCCCAATTTGGGTATCATTTTTGCAATTACGCACTCACCCCCCCCCCCCGCATTCTTCATGGTTTGGCCTCTCTCTTTAGAAAACCATTGAAAATTGATGTTGTCACGTTTATTGGATCTAGGCCGTCTTTAGCTCGTGTTTTAGTGGAGCTAGATATCACTAAATCCTACCCTGATAAGGTGTGGTTAAGCTCGGAGAAGCTCGACTATGTCTAGCAAGTGGTTATGGATGAGTTCCCGAATTTTTGTGCTTCTTGTCAAAGTATCGGACATGCTATTGGAATTTGTCGTCCTCCTCCTATTGTATTGATCCCTGCTAATCTGCCTCATTCTAATAAGGTTACTAATGAGGTTTCTGATAATCTTGTTTTAGTTCACTCTTCCCCTACTTCCCATTTTTTGTCGATACCTATTGTGGTGGATTCTGCGAATGATGTGGCTGTTGTCCCTTTAGAAATAGGTCCTCATGTGCATATTGCTGAGAATGATGTAGTTTTTGAGGGTGTTAATCCTTCTATTGATAATTTGAATTTAGTCCAGCTGGACTCTGCTATGGTTTTGAATGGGGTGGCTCCTGCTGCCCATGTTATGCGGTTATATGCGAGTGAAGTTGTTGTATTGAAATTTGGTTTAAATTATAAAAATGCTTTATCTTGTGCGGATAATGTGTCTATCCCGTGTGGTTTGGCTGAGAATGGTGAGCCTTGTGTGGGAGCTGAGCCTTTTGGTTCTCTTATTTCTACTAGTCTGAAAATGATTGATCATGTGGAATCCTCTCCAATGGTTGTAGTGAGTCCGACTGTTGTTTCTTCCTCTGTTAACCTGGTGTCAAATAGGTATGTTCATGATCATTTGGGTTTAAGTCCTAATGATAGCTTTGAGGGCAATGTTCGTTTCGTTAATATCTCTATTTCAGTTATATCTAATGTTGAAATGAAAGCTCATATGGCTAAGTCTGGAAAAAATGATGTTTTGCTTCAAATTAACTGGTTGGTTTTGGAGGATTCCTTTTCTTTTGAGGAATCAGACAGTCAGGATTTTGAGGGAGAAATAGTGGATCGCTCTATCAATCGTGGCTTTCTAAACGTGGGTGGAAAAAAGCATAAAAGTAAAGGCAAGAAGAAATAGATAGTATTTGGTTTTTGCTATTTCATTCGTGGATTTTGAATGTTGTTGGACTATGACGAGGAGGTCTCATGTGCCCTTGCTGATTGGGCTGGTTGGTGACCTGGGTGCCTCTTTCTGTTGCTTGGTGGTTGTTGGACTATGTTCCTTTAACTACCACCTATGGATGTTCCGTGTTTGACTGCAAGTTTGGTGTAGGGGTAGGCCTGTCAAAACTGGGTCACGGGTCGGGTTCGGGTTCAACCCGAAACTGACCCGGGTCTAAACGGGTCAACCCGAACCCGACCTGTTTTTCGAAACGGGTCGTAATACTGGACCCGAACCCGACCCGCTTCGGGTCCGGGTCGACCCGGCACGACTCGTATGACCCGAAAAAATTAAAATCAGGTTTTTTTTTTTATTTATTTAAAATTGAAATATACAGCTGCATGGCAAATAATCATGGTAGCTGACGATGGCAATGATGGTGGCAAGGGCAGGCAACGATGAAGGTGATAATAGACGGTTAAGATTGGTGATCGCAAGCAACAGATGGTTGTGGTTGGCGATGGCGACTACAGCAAGCTAAGATTCACTTTTATAATATATTTGAAATCCATCCAAAATAAGGTGAATTCCAAATAAATGGAAAATGAATTAAATGATGAACCTCAAATACTTCAAAGTTTTATATAGTATTCATTTTTCATCCAAATCAAATAGTTTGAGTTTTAAAACACTTGCATTCCTGGTACTTTACACCTATTTTTTAGCAAACAAATAACCCCAAAAAATTATTTATCAACTTTTTTATATGAGAGATATCCCGTTTAAAAAGGCAATACTTTGAAAATTGGGGTGCTAATAATTTGTTTCAATAATACATATAAATTGAATTAATTATTTGAGAGTTATGAATTAAATATTTATTATTAAAAATATCAAACAAAGATTACATATTAATATTATTATGTGTTTGAAAATTTGTGACAATAATGAGTTTATCATCTTAACTTTGTATGAACATACCACACATAGAAATAAGAGAAATTCAGAAGAAATATAAAAATTTGTACATTTAAAACTAATAAAAGAAAAAAAAAATCATGAGGTCTAGTTAAAATGATATGCTATATAAGTCAGATTTTTGTGTTATGAATTTTTTTAATGTGTATCAAATATATATATTATAAACATGCAAATATATTAAAATTTTAAAGACACAAATCTTCCAGTATGTCCCCTCTTAAATTTACACATAAAAAATTCTGTGTATATTCATTATTAATAAAATTTTAATAAATTTCTAATGATATTATATCGAATAAGAATATAGTGTAACTCTACAAAATCGTATTACTTACATAGAATCTAGCACAATTTTTAACATATCAGCACAAAATGAATCAAATTAGATTTATCTATACCACATCTCTGTTAAAATGATCCTGGTGTTGAAATAGGGAACTTTTATTTGGTCCGGTCACAGGACGTAGCTCTACGTTCGGCCACCAGTAGAATCGCGTCACGCGTTCTCACTATTTACCACGCGCCCCGACAACCCGACCCGGAACGGACCCAGGATGGCTCAGTATTTCTCGATTTTGCTAGGTATTGCTAGGTATTGGTCGATTTTGCTCGGCAATAACCAATACCGAGCAAATATCGAGCAAATACCGAGTAATACAGAGAAATACTGAGTTGTACCGAGTTTTCTAGAAAAACTCGGTACAACTCGGTATTGCTCGGTATTGGTTTTCACAGAGCAGTATTTCTCGTTATTGCCAAGTAATACCTAGCAATACCGAGTAATACCTCGCAATACGCGAACATAGCATTCCCGAGTTCCAGTCCGGGTCAAGTCGTCGGGCCGCGCGGTAAAGAGTAAGAGCATGTGGCGACATGTTATTGACGGCCGAACATAGCTCTACGTCCGATCAGAGGAAGTAATAATTGTTCTGAAATAGGAGCCTTTCACAAATGACAACAATTCCTATCTCTACCAACCCACCATTTCATAATGATTATAGCACATGGATCTTGTTGGACTATTATTATTGATGTTGATGAAGGATCACCTGATAACCAAGTAATGCCCAATGAAGATTTTATTGTGGGATGTTGTTGCTAACTACCTCTCCTTCATACCTCATAATACCATATGCCTCAGATATAAAATGTTTTTTTGGATTAAAATACATATATCTTGTCTTTTGAATGTATTTTCTAGCTATTAAATTTATTTTAAGATATTTATGCTATAAAAATAAATTAATTAGTCAAAAAAATAACAAAATTCATGTCTAGAAAAATTATTATAACTAAGGCTTCATTTGGGATGACTTTGTTGCTGTTTTTTAAAATAGCTTTTTAGTACAAAAATTTCTTGAATTTAAAATTTTTGTAGTAAAAAAACAGTTTTATAAAATAGCAAAAAAAAATTGTCCTAGTTTGAGACGGCTTTTTAATATTTTCTAAAATAAATTTTCAGTACAATTTTTTTTTAGTTATTTTAAAAAACAGTAAAAAAATTGTCTCAATTAAAACATAAATTTGAGTCAAATAGTTACTGACCCTAATTTTATCAATCATTCAGTATCAATGATTAAATTTGAATTAATATATATTGGCCATTCTAAACAAATAAGAAAAAAAATTTAA